ATCCTCTGATTCTGTAGGCAGAGATTTATTGGATCACGCTGGCGATCACGGAGGTCAAAATGTACTTAACGAATCGAGATAGAGCTTTTGAATATTTCGTGTCAGTGAAAATCATTCCATGCCTGCTGATATTGAGGAAAACGAACGTGTCATCTAACTCCGATACGTCAAAGAAATAAATTCTGATCGATCGAAATACCATAAATTAAAAAATTGGCAACTTAATCATAATTTTTCGTATAAAGAAATCTTCAGGCTAAAACAGTGCGAACTGAAACGCGAGCATTGTGGCCACGAACGTTACAAGCGTTTGATAGCCTGGCCAATCCAGGTAATATCTCCAGGTACACATTTCATTTATTTTCATTTGTTCAGTACTACTCTTGCAAACTTCACAATTAACAATATTTTATCGCATTGTTAAATGTAGATGTCAAGCTGCCTGCTGACTTCACCATGTTCACTTTACTGATTCACTTTCAGTCAAACTCATTTCTGTTCAGAGTTCTTGTTAGCATTTAATACTGATTGTGAAGGAGTTTGAGATGTTAATGCAATTGTCAGCGATTAAATAGTGATGGTAATGTTTCCGAGCAATCAATAATAACAAAGTGGATTTGTGAGCATAATGAATTAAGAGAATATACGCACATACATATATCCAATGGGAAGGAACGTGATATGAGAAGATATGATCGAAATCTAACGAATGCCTGCCTGTTCACTAATCGTAACCAAGGAAACAACAACCATCCCAACCGTTTATACGTCTTGATTTCGTATTATTTCGATTGGGTATCCACGATTCTATTGCCAATTAATTCATGTATCGTGTATGTTACCAAAGCAAATGAAAATTTTCTCACACTTTTCGCTGCTCACTTCATTGAAGTACTTTTCTGTTGCCATTTTATAAACCGAAATCCCTTTCAGCTCTTACAGTTCATCACCCAATCGAAACAGTTATTACGGTATTGATAGCTTAAATAAATATCAATGTTTTGTCGTTTGAATAACGATTAAAATCAACGCAATTTTCCGAAAGAAATTAACTTAAACTCAGTCGAGTGCATTACAAAATGAATTTGAAAATGGTCGGTATTGAACCATGCCTCACCTGCTAACAAGGTTTTTTTTTTCAACTTGAATATCATTAGTGTCCATCCAGAGTGCGGAATGTTCAGATCGCAAATTATTTCAGTCTTGTCGATTTTCTCGAAAAAATTAATCTATTTATCAAGATANCTCAAGCTCTAGTCCTTTTGTCAGTCCATGAATGCCGTTTAGGTGAAATTCATTCTGTCTTTATGTTTTTTCTACAATTCATTTTATCGCAGTTAGGTCCACTCGTTTCACTCATTTCATGAATACACTAAAATATCTTTTAGTAACTACAATACTCAAACATATGAGTGTTTATTATTGTTCATCTCAGTGTGTTTGTCATCCGAAATGATTTCTGATAATTAGGAGCATTGCTTTGAACAGCGTGGATATTTGTTTATCCATTTACCCATCTTACAATTAGTCTGTTTGTCATTCAAAACGGTTTGTGATAAATATATTATGATATATTATATTATGAGCGGTCGTTTCAACGAAGTGGATGTTTATCGATGAATGTAATTAATAGTCCCTTGTTTTCATATGAACTGGACGAAATGTCATTCATTCTGACGAGGCATTCTCTCGTATCTATAATACCATGTGCACAAAGTTCTAAAAACAAGCTCACTTTCTTGGATGGTCAAAGACATCAGGTCGATAGCGATTCTTTCACATCTACATCACATAATGCATAGTTTCAACGTATCACTGACCAAAAACATCCGCTGATCTCGTCTGCTCACTGACGTATAGCACCTTTACTGTGTAAGAAGGCAAACACTACTTCGTTGATTAATCGTGCATAACTTCAAAGTTTCTCGACCTTAATCATATTGGTACACCACTCGGTTCCGAGCAAAACTTTCCTCCGCGAACGGGAATCGAACCCGCGACCTACCAACTACCAG